TTAAACATGAAAATCGTATGGGTTTTCCATAGGAATCCAGTAGGGTATTGGTTTATTATTGGATTATATGGAAATCCTGTGCGATTTGTTTAAAAATCCTGTAGGATCCTGTAGGATTTTCCCCTAAAGGTATATACGGATGGGAATATGAAATATATAGCACAGTCACGCTTTAATTGCTACTGTCAGTCAAGCTCAACTCCATTAACATATTCAATATTGCCTACATGCAAATATATCCATAGCAGCATATTGCAAGATCGCACAATACATTTAAGATTCAGCCCGCTAGTGATTCAATATAATAGGGAACAATGACATTATTGTTCGTATTAGGTTGCCACATATGTTGATGATATTGAAACCCGGATAATCATCCTAGCGTGCCTTAATATATTGTCAGCTTTTACATAAGAATTACCGCCAAATCCATCTGTTATTCGGTGGAATATACCTTTTTTATTTATTTCACAACGCTAATCAGTCGAAATACATTTCCAAATGCTGTTTCTCAATTCCTGGCAAAATTGTGCGAACTCAAGCAAATAGGTTAACAAAATGAAGAATGAGGTATTTTGATATTCAAATTGACTGCTATCTCAATGTTTTCTGGAATAAGAGGCACTAGGGCCTCAAGCAGACCCTCTTTCCCCACCCCAAGTGCATGCAATTTCTCTGGTATAAACTCTCTATTTTTCCTTTAGACCAACTAATACAGCAATGCGATCAACTGGGGTGATGCGTTGGTGGCGAGGACTCCTGCTTCACAGGTATGTCCGTTTTGTGGTGGCGATTGTAGAACTTGCGCATGTCTCCGTTACGAGAGGTGAATCCATCCATCCATCTTCAATGCCCGCTATTCCTTCCGGGTTGCGGGGGCAGCAGCTTCAGGAGAGTCGTCCAATGGGTCCGGTCCTCCGCCAATTCTTCTGGGTATATTCCAAGACGTGACCATGCCAGGACTTCAGTATATTCTGACTACCTAGTCATTGGTCTGCCCTTGGAGATGAATGCAATGGGAAATATTTGGTAATGCAGAGCTCATCTACAGTATAAGGAGGGAATACTTTCTGAAGTGTCATGTTTTATGGAATCTTTCTCGGAATGACATGTAGTACGCATAATTCACAAAGGATACGTGTTGCAAGTGATCGTACAAATAGTTACGTTCTTTCTTCTCTAAAAAATTACATGTGACAATCGGCAATCTTCACTTAGCTTGTGCAGCTTGTTCGGATGAAGTTTTACTTGAAAGTACCGGTACCGCAGCATCTCTCATGAGACGTACGGTATTCACTGTATTCATGAACGGAGTTTCCTTGGGCAAGGCGAAGTGGGATAGTATTTCATAGAGCATGGAGTCTGATATCAAAGGTAAAAGGATGCACAGAAAATATGTGGGATACATTATGAGAGCAAGGAACGATTGCCTGGAATATCTGATTGAATGATTATTTGTCATTCTAGAAGCCCTGATCTGCAAGTCTTATGCTCAATTGGGTCGCGTGAATGTTTTTATTGGCTCTTTGCTCGATGCAGTCGCACATGGAATAAAATGAAAATACATTTCCTGATTTTACACATATTCATAGGTTGCATTATTACGTTAGCGAATGGCTTGCTGTATCTACACGTTTCATCAGATTTAGAACCATGAAAACATTCGTTTTTTGTCACATGTGCAGAAACTAAATGGATCCAGAATGTTCTTAAACATGAACAATTTTGTTTTCTTATTGTCACATTGTCGTCTGTATCTTTCAATCAAATATCTTAAATCAAAGGAAATGAAAGGTATCCATTGTGCACTTTTCATCTTGGTTTCATTCAATCTTCCAAGAAGCTAAATGCTGGGCATTTCAGGATTTCAAAAATGACAAACTCATATTTGCTTAGTTCTTTATAAGTTGGTACTAAACTTTATCTGCACTTTTTGGCAAAATGAAACCTTTGCATATAAAAAAAACAAACCAAATGAGCTAAAATTCGAAATGGATTTGCCTTGCAATGAACCCGATTGAACTTAATTCAGGAGTCTTGTGAATTAGTGGGGTGTAGAATTGTAAAACCCTGGCCTCGTGCACTGGAACGTGTTTAATTGTACGTATCACAGCAGAGAAGTTGACGCGCTTGTGGATGAAAGGTGGGAGTTTGGGGCAAAGGGTTGATCTTCACAATTTGGCATAGCCAAAAATGCAATGACGAGCATGCAGGGAGGGAATGTGCGACAGAAGCAGAGGCCTTCCATATGAGACTTAATCACATTGAAAGATGATCTTTAGGGCTCTTTTCTGGATATACTATGTGGTCTGTGATTGGAGACTAGTCAGAGAGTAGTACCACATGGATGCAACAACCTCTAAGGCAGGTCGTATGAAATAGCAACATGTGCTGGTCAAATCAGCCTGGGAGCTTGGAATTACTTGAGAATACTTATCATTAAATGGCCTTAAGAGGTATTTTCAACAATCGCTTCAGTGTCATTAGACCATTTCAAGTTATCTTGGCTGATAACTCTTAAATGGCGAGCTTCCGACCTAACCCCCAATAAGCCCAGACCTGGACCCCTGCAAATACGGTTTGAGGGGACATTTAACGCGGCTGGCGTACCGGAAGTCGCACAAGGATCGGAACTCATTCCAGAAGGGCACCGAATTTGTACCATTACAATAGTGACACTTGCAGGATGGAGAACATGTGGCTCTGTCGCTCCCCTTAATTATTTCGATTTATTAAATTGTGTTCCCGAGTGGGCACCTTGGCGTGTTTTGCATATTGATTGCATTGAATTGACCTGACCACAAGACTGGATGAGCTTTACCATTGTTAGTTACTGACCATTACCAATCGTCCAATAAAGGAACGGGGAATTTTACTCAAGCAATCGATAAGCAATGGGACGCATGATGACTGATAGTCCTAATGCCGAAGGGCATTTCGTTTTTGCGACCTTCCAACGGAAGAATCACCTCATCGTGATTCCCATTATCGAATGAACCTCAAAGACGAACCAGGAAGCCCCATTCCCTCACTATCGTTCCTTTAACATCGAAGAACCTTGCCCTAGCAACGATATTAAGCGCACTAGGTCTGATGGGACGACGAGATCAGCTGATCGATAGCGACAGCACTGCTATTAATAAGGGGGTCGATGGGATCAGTGCGTGAAAGCCAACACGAGACGTAAATGCTTCCTTGGGGAATACTCTCCTTTGCCAGAATAACGAACACAGTGCTCCCCAAGGTGCAATTGCACTCCCATCATTCATGTTAGCTTGAAAGGGGAAACGTGGCGACATTCACGTCGCAGTAACTCGCTGGTGGAGGATTCGGCCTTTCACTTGTTCTCCATGAACAGAGAATATCCTTAGTGGTTTGAGTTTCCCTACTGCCCATTGCAGATATCTTTGGGCAGTGAACCCGAATGACCCTGTGTCTCTTGTACTAGAAGTCTTGTTTTCCGTGTGGTAAACTCAGTTCGAACTATTAAACGACTTGTGGGATTCCTCAAGGGTGAGAGTATGTCGAGCAAAGTGGCCATCGAGCAGATCGGGAAGGGTATGATATCAAAAATCCAGTTCGCAGAGGATGAAGCCGTCGGCGCCAGACGTGTCACCCTCAGATTCCTCGACAGATTCTCTGGGAATGTGAGTCTTCCATCCGCAATCGTGAGAATGCACGCTGGGTTCAGGCATCGAATGTGCTGGTGCATAATGAGAGGAATTCTGGCTTTTAGAGTTTCCTTCACAGTTCCTTTACCTCTATTTTCTTCTCTGGTGGAAATGACTTGGTCCCCTAGGGTTACGTTCCTTAAGGGAGAAAATAAATAAATAAATAAATACATATATATATATATATATATATATATAATAAGATGGACAATCACTGATAGAAGGGCTAGCCCTTGAAATATATATATTTTTTTTTTTTTTTTTTTTTTTTTTTCCTGCATTGGCTCTCAGGACGTCGAACGTGCCACCGAAAAAGACACACATTTGTGAACCCAATGTGGTCCGTTTGCTCTCCCACTAATGTCAAAGTCTTTCTTTCCTTCTTCGTATTCGTAGTGGGCAAGATTAACAGTGGCACTTTCACATGGTGCCAATTCCTAAGTCTATGGGGGCAAACGTATAATGAAAAATAGCATGTTGTACCTCAGTCTCTACCTTTAAGCGGACCAAATCAGTCCCAATAAATATCAATATATGCAAAATGGTCACAAAATAAATTTAGTCTTCGATACCGAGGAGACAGTCATAAGGCCTACTATTTGTTTCCATAGATAATGAATGCATGTCAATCAATCATCAATCAATTCATCACTGAATGGATATGTCATTGGAGCTGCCGGGCCAAAATCAGAAAATACGTAGGGCGCCTTTGGCCAGTGAACCATCATCCCACCCGGCATACCGAAAAATATAGGCAGCTAGGGTACTAAACAGCCAATTACTGCATTCATCACGAACCAGGAATGTGAATCAGAACTTGTTCGTACAAACTCACAGCAGCTTCTTTCGAGCCTCTACATGGACTGTCACGTATGTTTCACACATGCATGGAGTTCATCTTTCTCACGTCAAGGTTTCTCTCGCTTATAGTACCATAGCGAATTTATAATCTGCGGCTCCAAGATTCAAGAAGTGCACAGCGTTCGACGAAGCAATGGGGCTTGAACGAGCTAACAGACGTTTCTGCCTAGGGTGACTATTTCACTCCTGTTGTATTTCGTGAAGTGAATCGGAGCTGTCCATATGAAAAAGGACGATATATAATAATCTCAAATGAAACTTTAGATTCGCTTTGAAATTATCCTAGAGATCCAAGAAAAATATGTTTTCTGGAGTTTTGAGTTATGTTTGCAAAAAATCGAATCCAATTTTTTGGTCATAATATGGCACATTAAACTTACATACTTGACTAACAGACAGTAAAAGCTTTCAAATAATATGTCACGACTTCCATCACGATTTCCATAACTTTTTTTTCCCTCCCGTCACCTTCTTCACGGAATCGCCCAATTGACTTTTTCATGCAGGGCCTGGGACGTTCCGCGTACCGGGATTCGTCTCCATTCAGGAGACTCTTCTGGCTCCTAATATTTCTCGTCGCCACGGGCCACATGGTTTACCTCATCGTCGACGCGATCAAGACTTACGACTCGGGCCCGAAGGCGACCATGATAGAGGTAGGATGATCCCGAGATGATCCCGAGATTTGTCATCTTTCCCAGAAGACTCGGCGAATGATCGTTGCTTCTGTCTAGCTGAACACGGACAAGGAACTGGATTTCCCGGCCGTCACGATCTGCGCCTACAGTCCTCTGTGGAAGAACCTAGAAGATGAGCCGACACTGTCCAAATTCAAGAATCTCTTCGAGCTGAACGAGAACCTCGAAGGAGCGCTCGATGACATCTTAAAGCCCGAGGACACGAGCCACCTGACGACTGTCGCTCTCCCGTTAAACGACGATACGAACCGGGATATGGGGCCGAATAACTGCATCAAGCCCTTCGTTCGCCTGTACCGTAGGTTTACAATGCCATTCCTCGTTTCATGAAAATGCCTTTGTCGAGCTGCACCACGTGATGATGTTTTCACTCAGCAGCAAATGATGCCCTGGGTTCCTCCGGACCGACGGGACAAGTGGATGGACCAACGTCAGAGCTCTCCTCATACTCAGCTGCCACTACGACTGAAATGGATTCAACTTCTCATGAAATTCCACAAGCCAGAGTCGGCTTAAATTATTACTCAGGCCCTAATTCCCCCACATCGACAATGAACTCCTCAACGAACATCGCATCGGCCAGAATCGCGGCGGCGCAGTTTCCAGCTGACGGCCGAGTCGACAGCTCGACTCCGTTTGGTATCTCTGAGGTTTCGGGGGAAGAGAACTACGACGAGGACGAACTCCGGAAAATCTTCGAAGCCGATGGGATCCGAGTGGACTCAGGAGACGAAACGAAAAGTAGGTGCAGTCCTGATGTGGTATTGTCAGGCCTGATGACAAGCATTCCTGGCAGAAATGTATGCGCTGAAAGGCATAAAACAAACTTTCTTCCGTAGATGGAACGAGAAAAATCAGCAACGAGACTGTTAAAGTTGACGATTTTCTCTCGATGCTGCTTCTGACCAGCTCCTACACGTTGAGCGACTTCCGGGAATATTTAAATCTGGCCGACGCCGTCAGCGACATCATGAAGTCCATACAGCATAGCAGCTTCAATGATGTACCTTGCAATCCGGAGTATGTGTCTGATATTATCTGCCTGAGGAAGTACCGTATGAGGTAAATTTTTGTATTTAAGGGAAAGTTTTGGATCACTCAGTATTAATACCGTGCAAAGAACGAGTGAATTTATTCTACACACTCACCGAAAGACATTTCATTAATCGCTAGAAACTTTCATAAAAACTAAAACGAGTAGGTATTTGCAATGTTTTGTAACTGTATCGTATTTCCAGCGACTTCAGGGTCAAGAACGACTCAAACTATGGGCAATGCCTGACCTACAACTACAAGGGCGACAAACGCGTCAGCCGGTCTGGGTCATCGGTGAGATCACCACGCCCATGAAATCCCGTCGCAAGCCATTCCAGATCTCAGCGACTCTATCCCTCCACAGGGCGGGCTGCACCTGAGGCTGGTCTGGAACGCCAAGAACGAGTTGGTCCTCCTCGCCCAGGCGAAGGGATTCCGTGTCGCCCTCCACCATCCGAAGGCGGAGCCCGACCCCCTCGGGGAAGGCTTCGATGTCGGCCTCAATATGAATTCATACGTTGGCGTGAGGAAGATGAGTTTTGAACGCCTTCGTCCAGATACAGGGGGGGATTGCGCCTTCGATTCTTACCTACAGGAACGCTTCGACAAGAGGATTTTCAAGGTTTCAGATGAAAATAAATATTCCAAAAAGGTATGCGGAGATTTCGTGAATCAAATTTTATAGAGCGACTTTATCTCTTTGTAGGAAATCATACCTTCATTACAAATACATACATTTTCAGCTGAGACACTCGAACATGATAGTTGTGAGAATTTCTCATCTGATTGGATCGGTGGAAGGCGTTTCCATTCCCTCATTTCATTTCTATGTTTCTTTGCCCCATCCAATCAGCTCTGTCTGGAGCTGTGCAAGCTTTGGCGCATACATCAGAATCCAACTACTCACTGCTACTTGGAGTCTCCTCTTCTGCAAAACGAAGTGAACGTGTCGGAATATTGCAACAGGCAAGGTAAGGGCTTTTCGAATTGTTTTTTTTTTCGGTTAAGCCGATTCTTTCGTCTCTGTAAACTTGAAGCAGAGCGGTGGAGACCTTTCAAAGCCGATACGGAATTCATAACCACAATTTTCCCTTTAATATCTCACGGAAAGCTCGCATCAAGTCCGTGGACATCCTTAAGAACATCAACATGGATGAGGAGACTTCTTGCTTCTGCCCTCAACCCTGCACGTGAGCTTGAAAATTGGCGCATCTCTCGTTGTGGAATATTTGAGGGCAAGGCCGCGATTCCTGCTTGCTTCAGGGAGGAGAGGTATCAATGGTCTTTGTCGGCGGCGCAGACAGTTCCTCGGCACGCATTGCTCTTGGACCTCATCGCCTGGTTGAGGGAGAAGAAGGGGAAGACTCCAAGCGAAAAGGATCTCATGACGGAGACCTTCTGCGGCCAACCCACGTCTGTTCTGTCGCATTTTCATTTAGAAATTAGGCAGCATCAGAGTTCTGTCCAATATGGGCAATGCAGTTTCCGTGCGTGGATTCGTATTCGGCTACCCGAGAGAATAAAACTGGCTGGGTTTCGGGTGGAAATGAGCATGAATAATGTCTGTCAACGTTCCAAAATCTCTCCACAGAGATGACGCGAGCATTGCTGTGGTGAACATCTACTACGAAACGATGACAACTGAGCGAATTGCAGAAACTCCTATGTTTTCTGTGAGCGAAAAAAATTCGTAAAAGTTTCCAGAATCCCATGACCCATGACCCAAGTCGGAGAGGTCACACTTGAGATCAAGCACTGCCAGACAATTCATTGTCTGCGATATTTGGTGAAAAACGTTTTGAGTTTATTCACTACAAGGATAACGGCGCTGCAAAATAGTTAGATAGGTAAAAGCCAGCGGGTGTCTTCTTCCATTAAATAATGGAGGAAAAAGGGAGAGAAGGATAGATTCCAATGCAGATCAAGATGCATAGATACACAAGAGTTCAATTTATTCGTGATATTTAAGTTGTCGCTGGAATAATATAAGGATTTGCTATTCACGTGCATGATATTAATATATTGACTGGCAAAAAGATCATATGTAGTACGATAACTCCTTTCTCTCATCCACGGGACAGGTTAAAGTGCAGCATAGAGAGCGGTGACAGAGACAAAATCCCCATTGGACATCCTTGACATGTAACCCATCAGGACTGTGAAGAAAGATTGTTTACTTTACTCGTGTTCATTAATCATGGGAAGGATGAGCCTTTGAGCAATAACAAACTCGTCTTCCTTGTATGAATTGACTTTACATTATCCTCTTGTCAAAACGATCAACTTATCATCCATTTACCAATATATCTCAAATAGTTTAAGGCGAGAAAGTTTCGAATTAGGATGCTTTAAAATTGATGTACTGCGCAATTAAACTTTAATTATTTACAGCCAAAAAATGTACATCATGAAAATTGAGAAAATCTGCCATTTTTCATTTTCTCAATTACTCCCTGATAGACGGGAAAACTCGGGATCAGACAAGGCATCATATATGGATCCCTTCACTTCCCAGATCGCCGTATATTTTTCTTTGAAAATATTCAAGACTTCCGCCTAAATGTGATTCGTGAAAGCGATGAAAACCATTAGTCTTCGAGCATGATCGAAGCCATCCCTACTTAGAGCTGCCTGGCTAAAAATGTCTGAGGCCATTCGAGATATTTAAAAAGGTGAAGGTTTCTATTCGAACAGGTAGTGAGCTTCATCGGAACACTGGGCGGACTGCTGGGCCTCTACGCTGGTCTGTCCTTCGTCTCCGTTCTAGAAGTGTTGGAGTGGATGTTGGACTTGGTCTTGTATGGCTGGAGGAAGCCGAGGGAAAAACTGGGGAGAAAGAGAATGGCCGTCATCACTTGTGAGTTTGAGCTTCTTACCAAAGGATCCATTCGGGATCCCAATTCATTCATTACTTCCTGACAGGGAGAGAACCTCTTCAGATGGAACAGACGAAGACAGAAGCGTTGGGTCCAGGGGTCCCAGGGGATGACATTCTCCATAACTACAGCCCGCAAATTGACGCTCAGAGAGCAGGATTCGACATTGTCTTCTCTGACAAAGTGATGTTCTAGATAGATGCTCAGCATCTTCAGCTTCTTCGTGTGATCCCCTCTCGAAGATGAGCACTTCACTACTCTACTTGTTCCCGATTTCCTCCGAAAGGATTGCCATGATATTATCACGTTCAGCCTCGATAATCAATATGTGTTTCGATAAGTATGTACAGTCTCGACAGGGCCATTCGAGTTTCACAGCATAATTACAAATGACATCCGGATTAAGTCCGATATAGGAGCCTACTTCATTGTAACAGAAGAAACCTGAAAACTATAATCATTCATACTTTAAATTATAGGCATTGTTTGTCTGTATAACGAACGGGTTTTGACAATCCATACGCATAATACATTATTCTATTTCGGTCATGTTTGGCAATAATCCTGACATTAGCCTGGAAGTCAAGTTTAACTATATATTTTTTTTGCAATCAGACAAGGAAGGATTAAAAAACGTAAAATTGAACATTTGAGATAAGTGATTACTTGGGATTTTCATATCCACATTAAGCCAAAGGTCTTTTGTTCAAAGACATAGCAGTCTCATCGAACTAACCTTTCTCTTCCGTCGTCTGTAATAAATAATTCATCAATTGTGGAATACACTTCCAATTTTCAGGGCGTTTCACCATCCATTCTTCTCTCACTTCCAGAATGTTAATGTTTGGCACCAACAAAACGAGTAATTTCAGCCCTATGCTTCATTTCAATTATCTTTTTTTTTCTACATTTCAGTTGTAAGCTTGTTACACAGCTACACATCTACACATTTTAGCCAAGAGAGTATTGATTCGTACAAACACTCATCACTAAAAAAAAAAGTACAACCAGGAATTTGAACAATTTTGATTAAATGCGCGGTAAATGTGTTAACCTGCTGGGTCCGAGAACTTTCTTGGAGAATATTGATTTATTCACCTCTGTGGACTGGAGTCTCATTTTTGCCATGCACGTCTTTCGAGAATGAATTTTGGTTGCAATGGCGATTTTGTGGTATCTGTGTTATTCAAACTTTTTCATATCTCAATGCTAAACGCAGTTAACATGTTCATATTACCTTGTACGAATTCAAGTGGTTTTTAGAAAAGACTCGACGGGAAGAATCCTCCATTTTTTCAAATCGCAAAAGTGTAATCCAAAGGGTGGAAATGAAGGGGAAGCTTATTAAGACCAGAAAATGAGATGCATTCATGGCGGGTTTAATGTTATTCCACATTGTGAACCTGAGAAGTATTTGTAAGGAATGATTTTGAGTTTGGCCCAGACTTAATATCTCGGTAACGAGTCCCTCTAACCGTTCGAAGCGAGATTCAACGAAACCGTCATTCGGTACCACGTCTCCGACAGTCGGCGAACCGTCACATATAAGAAAATCTCCTTGAAACGTATATCAACTGGTAGGTAAAGCTCGGCAATGTTTCCCTGACGATGCAGAACGTGCCGCCTACGGATAGGGTATCTAGCAAGTCCAAACCATGGTAAAGGCAAACTGTCGCGATTAGTGAAACTTGGCAGCTAGTTCTTCCGAGGGTAAGATCCAGAATCTTCGATTGCCATCCAAACATGAGATGTAAACGTTTACCGATCCTTACTTTACAAGAATAATGAGAAGAGGACAGAAAACGGGGAGTCTCGCTGTGGAAGTCATGGACCATGGACCTGTCTGCTCCATGTCTGAGTGGTGCTATAGTGGGCCTGGGCCTAGATCTGTTTCATGCCCAACCGAAAAAGGAAGGAAAGGGAATTGTCTATTGAGCCTTTCGTCCACACAATAGTTTGCGAATTAGTGAACGTACTCGAGGAAGTGCATCTGGCTTTTCCTTTTTTACTGGGACCTCCGAGAAGGAAGAACAAGACTCGGCAGTACTTCAATCGGTCAGTCTCCCTTATGTGAATAAGCTTCGTTCCGCGCACAAAGGTATGGCTCGTCGCGAAGACAGCTATTCTGGGCAATTTCAAGAAATTAGATAGCTTTATGGATGATGCTACCAGGAAGCTGAATACCATCATCGCAGAGCAAGCGGATCTGAAGGCTACAGTGGACTTTTTGAGTCGCGGTTTTGAAACAATGAGGATGGATGTTGACAACATGAAGAAGAGAGTCGATGACATTGAGAGTTCTCGTCAGGTGGATAGCGATGTCGTAGAGGATATTGTGAAATCGAAGTTACCTGGTATGGAGACACGTTTTGGGGGATCCTTGTCTAGCATGGAAGAGTGACTTTGAGCCCTAGAGGTATACCAAAGGCAAAGGAATGTGGTGGTGTCGGGTCTGTCCGAGGGAGAAAAGGAAAACGCAGAAGAAACCATTCGTGATTTTTTTCTCTCCTTCGTATCTCAGACTCGTCGGTCTCAGCCATGAAATTCTACGCTGTACATAGGCTACCTCGTCCTCGCATTCCGGAGAACGCAAACCCCGAAGACCCTAAGGTGAAATGTCTCCCGATGATGGTCGCTTTCCTCTCCGTACAAGACAGGGAGGTGATTCTTTCTAATGGAGGTATGCTGGCTGGCAAGAAAATATCTATGAAAATTGACCTTCCACCGCCTCTGAGGGAGAAACTGAGACGCTTGAAGGGGATTGCCTACAAGTTGCGCCAAGAGCAGCATCAGCGCACCAGGGTGGTCTGCCGGGTACAGATATTTCTCTCCAAGTCTTCTCGAGGATCAGAAATCGATGGGAAGCCTATGAGAATAAATAGGGCGTAATTATTCTTTCCTAATTGTCTTTTGTGCCCTGTCCATCACAAAAAGGTACCCGCTCTTCTTGAGCCTTTACTTTTTTGTTGTTTCCTTTTTGTTGTTGTCCTTTTCTTCTTTTTTCCTCTTCCCCTTCTTTCTTTTTTGCTGTGAAATGTCTCTGAAAATAGTATCTGCTAACTGTTGGGGATTAGGAAATCGGTACAAGAGGCGAGATGTTTTCCATTGCCTTCTCTCTCCAATCCTCGACGGTCGCGAATCTCATTCCTCAAGTAGATTCGATAAACACAGGGGAAACTCGCAAGCTCTCCTGCCCTTCATGAGGGGCATCTTGGAATCGAACCACCCTCGCTGAAACCTTGAACGGACTCGAATTCAACGAAGGCCATAACGAAAGTCACGACTGAATGAACTGTAAAGTTAGCAGTGGGGAATGGGTTGTGTTAATTCCAGATGTTGATGTGGGATGGAGGTTGAAGGAAGGGGTTGGCCTATAAAAAGTGGTTGCCACATTTCTTCATTGGGGTGTTCATTATAACAATAACCATTTATTACACGTAATATATATTTCCGCTACAATGAGAACTTCTTTCTCAAATAGTATTTTTTTCCGTTTCAGTGAGTCACGATCCCGTGATCTCCGAGATCGAAGTAGTCTGAAATCCATCCATCCATAATCAACGTTGCACAACGCGTTCATGGGGAACTTCTTGCCGAAAATTTGCTTGATTTATTAAGGTTCATCCATTTCCATAATTCAACCTACGATTTCAAGGAAATTCATCGTTTTTCATAAAAATAGACTCATGAATCAATGAGCAAAAGATGTTTGGACGGAGAAAAGAAATAAGATGAAGTTTCACTCTCAGGTGATCATCTACATAGGAATATCGGCAGAATTACAGAGAGCTGCACATTATATACCTCGACCTATC